GTCCTGGAGCGACGCCATTTCGCGACTGCAGATGAAATGTAGCCAGCTGTAAGAATGCTACAAGAGAGAACAAATCAGTCCTAGGTATTTTGTTATATTTGTTCTTTGTTCAAGTTTTAAACAACAGAGGCGGTTACACTTTGTATTGAACACGGAGCAAATACAAAGACATAAGCAACTGTGCACTGTGATTCTAAGTAGGTCCTGACGTCATCACAGTGGGCGTGGATTAAAATTTACACTCACCGTCCGTGTGTGTGTGTGTGCACACACAAGTGCACTCACTGTGCACTTGTGTCAAAGACGTTCATCTTTATATGTTCGTGGTATTAAGAAGAAAAGGATGAAATTTTGTGTTTTATCGTGTTGAAATAATTTGGATAGACGTTTTGTTGTTATAGATGGCATCGAATTTCATTTGTAAGTAATTTTATTCTTAATTTATTCAAATAGTTCTGGAGAGATCTCTTAATGTTTTTTGAAGTATAGTTACTTCTATGTGTCACTAGATGACTAAACTTTGTGTAATTTAAACTAAAAATACAAAGGTACGTTAAGCTTAGTTTCAGTCAAATAATACTGGAATTCGTTATTCATTCAGTCGTCAACTACGTTAGTTAAGTTGTAATTAGATTTCTCTATCAAATTTTGCGGGATGAGGAAATATTAAGTATACTTAACTATGTTAGAAAATCATAACACCCTTTTTCTTCGTAGTTGGGTGACAATAGGACAAAAAGATAAGCCGTACACATAAATACAGATAAGAATAAATTAGAGAACAAATTTTAATCGTTATTCGTAATTTACCACAAACGTTTTTATTCTCACACTATATAATCCTAAAAGATGGTTGACATCTGTCGGGCATGCTACCGTCCTGGGGAATCCATCAGGCATTTTATTTCTGGTTGTTCTGTTGTCTATCTAACGGTGAATATTCGCATAGGCACCACCAAGTAGCCAGGATCGTACACCAACAGCTTGCCCTTAAATATCAACTTGTGAATCCAGAGGTGCCATATTACATGTGTCCGACCTAGTTCTCGAGAATGATCTGGCCACGTTGTATTAAGATCGATCTATTAATACAGTGAGGACTATTGTTGCCAATAAGCCTGATATTGTGGTGATAGATCGATTAGAGCGTCGCGAAATGAATGTTGATATCGCCGTTTCTCACGACGAGAATTTCGTGAAAGTTAAAAAAGAAAATCAAATTAAATATTTGGATTTATCTCACGAGATTGTCCATATCCGGAATGCTCACGGATTGATAACTAAGAGCCTGGACCAACATCTTAAGAGGCTCACGTTAGACGGCTGGATCAAGGGTCTGATGCAGAAGGCAGTTCTCCTTGACACGGCTTATATAGTAAGGAGAATCCTATCTTCGGAGTCCTAACCAGCGGTGTCTTGGTCCCTGCTCCCGATGTCGGTGGTCTATTTTTTAATTTTGAAATGCATGTTTTTTTCTTTTGTAATATATTTAAAAATGTAATTAATATAAATATATATTTATATAAATTATGTAATAAAGAGTATAATAATATAATAATATTTTTCGGACATCTAACACACAACTCCATTTAGTTTCAAACTAAGCAAAGCTTGTTCTATGAAAGCTAGATTGACTGGTAGAATACTTGTATACTTTTTTTGTAAATACATTGATATTATTCATACAAAACACCCAAACTCCGAAACAAATATTTGCAAAGCATATAAATATTTGGTCCGACCCGGGAATCGAACAAGAGACCTCAGAATAGCAGTCGCATACGTCACCATTGCGCCACCGAGGCAGTCATAATCTATCTGTATACCACATTTTATCCAAATTCCTCCAGGCGTTTCAGCGTGAAAAATAACACATACACAATTCATTGCGTTTAATAATCATCAGGATCAACGAGTTTTTATGTCAGTCATTCAGCGCCATCTATCGAATAGATAGGAAATCATTACTTTTCATCTCAGTATTTATTTTGAATTGTCACTTGTCAGTCATGCAGCGCCATCTCTCGAATAGATAGGAAATCATTTCTCAAGGAGATTTTACCAATGTATAAATTGTTTTAATTAGAAACCAACTGAAAAATATGTAGGTAATAGCCGCTTTCATAGATGGCGTTGTAATTAAAATCGTGTCGAATCAGTTTTACTCGATCGTCACAACTTCGTTCCTATCGGGTGTCCCACGACACCACACGGCTTTTTATAATATTAGGGAGGTTAATAATATGACATAGGCCTACGTCCAACAGTGGACTACTAAAGGCTGTTGATGATGATGTAATAATATGAGTATAGATAGTTCAACTCAGTTGTGCGCGCGGCCCTATGTGTGCGTAGGCTTGTAAATATACAACTTTCATTCGTGTGGCAGTCGTCGTCCGACTGCCGCGTCACAATAGATGGAAGTATCAAGATGGTACAGAAAATTAATCTTAAAAAAACTCACTGGTACGATAATTCTGTGTACGTCTACGCTTAGTCTACACTTAGTGTAGGATGCACGGGACTTACACTAAATAGCTAAACTAAATAGCAACATCGACGTAGAACGATGCGAGTAGTAATTTTGCTTTTATTTGGTAGATGGAAAAAAGTGAAGTGGGCGGAACTTAACACCCCCTCATTCCGCAAATTATCACGAGTTGTTTCATAGGAAAATCTAATTATAACACATTCCTATCTGATTTGCTCCGTGGTACTGAATTACCCAATAAAATAAAAATGTCTTTACTTAAATGTATACTTAATAGGTTGACTGGGAGAGAAGGCCTTATGGCATTAAGTCCGCCTTTGTACGGGATGTGTATTAAGTATTAAATAAATAAATAAATAAAGAAAAGTTTAATTTCGTTTTAACTTTATTTGATTTGATGTGAAATTAACAATTGAATGAAGGATTTTGCTGTCAAATAATGCTTAGTCATTGTTTATAATGTAAAATATAAACATATTACAATGGTAAAATCGTTCAAAAGTACAAATCGTACATGTTTTTTAGACTTTTTATATGTATATAATACTAATTTTTTTTAAACTAGCACGTACTTCAATGTGTCTAAATCATTTTAAATTGTTTTCGTCCCTAAATTTGCTTGCAATTGTCTTAGAGGTGGAATACTTTTGCAAGTTTAAATATGACCAACCTTAAGTGCAACCGAAATAAAAAAAAAATGCACATGACTGCACACTATATACAAAAAAACAACAGTCGAAATGCAAACCGCCTCCTTTTTGACGACGCCTAAAAAGGGTCTGTCGTCTATACTATACATGAAACATGCAGCGAATATACAAAGAGAGACTTAAAACTATCTGAACCCTGGATTAGATTTATTAGATTTAGCCCGATTGATTAATCGAATCGGTTAGTGAATAGTACCGTTCAATCGATATACAAATGAGTTATCGAGTTCATTTTCACTCACTATAATAAATCACACGAACCTTCGTTGTTTACAAATAATCGGTATTAGTCAATTATTGGTTTTCTTTAATGATTATCATTTATAAAATGCAATATTTATAAACTTCAAAACGTAAAGTAATCTGTTTCCGATGAATGTATAAAGTACTTTATGTAAAAATTAAGCGTCCAAACTCTATTAATGGTATTAAATAAAGCAAGAACGTAAACTTGCATTGTATTTTAAAGTCTTTTGGCATAATAATGTAATATAATAATATTTTCACACAGGCACAGGCAGAGCCTGTAATATGGTAACCAGACTACTGATAAACATGCTTATCTATTTCTAAATATACTTTATATAAAATATGTACGTACTTATTTTAGATAAAGTATACTTAGACATAGAATAAATGACCGTGCTTTTAAAAAGAGGCTGGATCTTATTTTTTTTCGGTTAATTCATTTTTTATTCAGTTTCACATTGCATCAACCCATGCTAATAAAACACTAAAGCAGAGTAAAATTGAATAAAGAAAACTTAAGAAGACTATTAAAGGGTTTTGAAAATTCAGACTACTCAAATCATCCTCATAAAAAAAAAACAATATTCATAGTACATACTATGAATATTGTTTTTTTATATAGTATATTATATATAAAATATTATATAGTATATTTTTCTAAAGCGCTACAGAAAGTACATAAGCTATACCTTTAAAGTAAATTGCCATTCCCGCTCATATTTTGTTCACTGTCCCCACCGTTTGGTCGTCACTCAGTGGGAACGTCCCATTACGTCGTAAGCACACGCATGAGGCGATTCTTCTGCAAGTGCCGCGTTAGGACCGGAATTGCCTCTTCACATGATACTTATATCACCCACACAAGTTTATGAGAATTTTTAATATTTTCTAGTTCTTTTTTCTTAAGTGTACTTGAGAAGGCTATAATAACTTTTGAGTATTTCATTAGTAGTTCTACGTTTAAAAAGCGAACGTGACAAAATAAACACGTCTTTTGATGATATGAAGCTAAAAGATTGTAAAAAATTTAAAAAGTACTAGTTAAAACTGAGCCCTAGCTCCTTTTATCTTATGTTAAATAAATATTTTTGCTCTTTCTAAATGTTTTTATTTTCTCCTTGTTTGTGAATTAAGTAATAAGATTAGGTATATATTATCTTTGCCATCGGCAATGTATTATATCATACCTCTCGTTATGCCTAATCGATAAGTGATCAGTGGTCTAAGGTGATAAGGTTTGGATAATGGGGGTTAGGGGAGGATAGGGCATCCTAGGCAGGATAAAAAAACAGCGGACAAAACAACTGACCTTTTTAGACTTTGACTTTTCTGAATTTTTAGTATGATATGGGCATAAAATATGAAAAGTTTAAATTTTCTGGATTTGAAACGATTTTTTAGAGAAATCTTAACGACATTCTACTAGAACTTTATTTGTGTAGAATTTGGTACCGATTGTTAAAATTACATATCAAGTTAACTAGTTGTTATTATTGAGATTTTCTACCACTATTTTAATCTTAACTCTTGTAACACTTTTTGTCACCAGGATGTGGGTTAAGCGTGCGGTGTGCGTGCTTTGCGCGTGGTTTATGGTGGTTAATGCGGAGTGGCACTGTCCAGTGCTGAGCACGCGTCCTTCAGCTGAATGCTCCTGCGATCTGCCCCACACGCTCCGGTGTGCTGGTGATCACACTGCACTACAGGTATGTCTCATTTAAATTTATATTATCACTTTTTGAACCCTAGAAAATGATTTCTGATTGATACTTTATCATAGCGCATGTGTTCACAGCTTAGTGATTTTCTGCCTGTTACTGTACTAAGTTCTGAGAGTCTGATCTAAGAGTCTTAAAAACCTTTTTCTTCAGGTATGGTTGAACTGCGCAAAAGGGAAATCAACATAGAAATCTCAAAATTTAATTAAATAATTAATTCTATCAATACACTTTAACTTTTACGATATAACATGTCTTAGTTATCATCTGCGTAAATATTCATGCTGTTTTTAATTGAAAAAATAATTATTGTAATAGATGTATTACAGCTCTATATCGTAACTAAAATTCGTGAACAGTATGTAACGAAAAGATAAACAAGCTGTAGAGAAACGCTTATCGCAGAAAACAATGGTGAAAGTAAGCTTCCAATCAATTAATGTTGTCATAGAACAAATATAAACGTGAAACGTTTCGTGATCCAATATTGCTGACCATTGACCACTGTTAGTTTTACTTTCCTTACAATATAACGTTCAATACTTACCATAAATCATAAGTTTAGTATTGAACGCTTGAATATAATTGCTCAGAAGCATGTTGATGTCTCTGAGCTAGTACCTAGTGGCCTTCAAACATAGGACAAAACATGGGTGTTTGATAAAAAATGTGACCCTCCGCAAATGAAAGTAGGGTTGCCTTACTCTACAGGAAACCAATTCTTGATGGGCTCACAGTAGTTTCCTTTCTGTAGTGCTCCTGAGGCCTCGGTCTCGGCAAAGACTCGACGAAGGAAAACTGCGTTATTTCTTCTTCGACATGCTGTCTTACCGATTAGCGCCGATGAGGTGACATCCCGAGAGGGTTTCCAAACACAAATTAAGGACTGAAATACGAGAACGCGGCTTCATTTTTATTCTCTTTGCTACTGCTATCTCAATATCCCAACAGAGTCCCTTTTTCCTTTAATTTATTCCGTCTGTAAACGATTGCATTCAAAAGGAGAATTAGCGTAAGGCAAGTGGTTGGGCCATGAAAGAAAGCAAATTAAACCCTTATGCAGTGTTTTTATTCAGTTACTTTGACATACATAAGATGGTTAACCATAACAACCCATTGATTAATCACTTAAGGTTTAAATAATACTTAAGGTTTAAATTAATATAAATACTTCATATACTCTAATTTACTGTATACCGTACTGCAGTATAATTACCATTAACTTCTCCAACTATTTGAAAAAAATGTGTAACTTTTTGATGAGATATCAGTATTATTCGTAAAATAATTATTAATTTATTTTTCAAAGCCTTTAGATGGATCGCGAATTAAAAACAGTCTTCTATTTCATCTTCAAATTTGAATAAAAAATTATGTTAAACAAGTCCCATTAAATCTTTGCTCAATCCGTTTTATAAAAAGAGCACAAAGATAAATATCCCCCAGAATTTTGGCCAGACCAGTATTTAAACACTGAAATAGGGTCTCAAACGAATTTAGAAAATTCAAACAAATGCTTGCAGGACCTTTGTAAATACAAAGTTAATGTTTTACATAAATAGAAGAGTGGTATTGTTTTATCTACATGTCAATTTATTTTGTTTTACGATACAATCTTTAAACAGTTTGCCCCAGAATATTATCTGTTTGCCACCGATTGACATTTAGAAGACAGTGAGTGCATTTAGTCGGTACTCAAGCCTAATTCTGTTCTGATTTTTATTTGCCGTTAAAATGATTTGTCAGCTCTAAATGACAGCAAAAAAAAATGCGCATGGTAGAGCATTTATTATCTGAAATTTGTGTTGTTGTGTTTATAAATGTCATGTCGTGTCTACTATAACGGTATATTGCCATCAAGTTATTTATTTATTATTTATTTTAGTTATTGGGAACTATTGTCTAAAAATCCGCAATATTGATAGCAATGATGAGTCTTATTCTTATTACATAAAAGATACAAAGTTACTACGATTAATTAAAAAAATAATGAATTAATTTATTTAAATTTTCAATGATAATAGTTATATTTTTTGGTAAGCCATTCTCAGTTTAGCACTCAGGATCGCTTACCTTAAAAATTGTTGTGAGTCCGATTCCCACCCAGGCCAAAGATTGTGTGATGAGCACTATCATTTGTTCTCAGTCTTGGTGTAGATTTTCTATAGTGTGTGTATTTCCAGAAATATATGAGTGCGTATGTAAGCAGTCTAGTATGGGATCAGAGGGCCGTCTGTAAAATAAAAATATACTTAAAGCAATTGGTGTAATGATGCCGACTGTACAATGCTAAATAACTCTACTCTACACCTAAATTTGAAGTAAATTATTTACATTGTCAAAACTTTATGTACATATATATTCCGTTTAAGCCTCATTTCTTCATAATCGATCAAAGGCACTTAATACTTACACAGTAAGACGTTTATTGAAGCCGGGATCTTGAAGGGTGCAATCACAAACCCTACTCAAAGTCTCGTCGACTCACGCACCTGCCAATCGATAGCTTTTGTTTACTGAACTGCTCTCTACAAGAAGTGAATTGTGGCTCACGTTAATCCACTATGAGTCACCTAAAAGAAACACTTAGAATTTTCTTTATACGTTTAAAACTATACGAAGGTAAGCAGTTAAGTTATAGGTAGAAATTGTTCTTTAAACACTTCTACAGAAATTTTCTCGCTCTATTCAAAGTCTAAATAGGCCTTTGTAGATCTTTCTCAACTGCTCAATAATAGTGCTGCTTAACATTCGGTCTTTCTTTTATTTTAGTCAAAAACACAATACCACACTAGTGAATAATAATAACAATAGTAACTTTCAAACACGGCCGTCTGATCGCAAACTAGGCAGAGCTAGGCAAACTAACTAAGACTAAATTACTTATATTATGTTTCTAAATACATACATGTTATCGATAAATTACTCCCAGACACCGAACAAATGATCATGCTCATCACTAAATTATTTATCCTGGTTGTGAATTGAAGCCACGACCTCTGGCTTAGCAGTCAGTGTTACTAGCCACTACATAAATAGTCGGTGTTTTTCAATTTTTATGATTTTTAATTGTAAGCAATGTATAAATTAAAGCAAATTTATAAGTAGAAAGAGGCTTACAGGTATAAAACTAATAACAATTTGTTAGCTTGACGGTACCACTTTGATCGAATTTTCCCAATCATGGTCACGCCAGATTGTGATTTGTATTCAAATTTCCCGAGACGGTATGCATTCTCAATTTATACTATTTACAAAAGGGGTAAAACGGGTAAGTATTGAGAGAATGTCTGCCTTTTGAATTGTTTGTGGAGGAACGGGTGTCATGTGCCTCCAACACGAAGGATCCTCCGACCAGGTGAGGTGATCATGCCTGGCGGGCCGCGGCCCAACGGTTGATGTTGGGAAGTTGTGTATATGCTAAACGGCGAGAGAATTCTTCATATCACGATACAGGATTAGTAATTCTCATTCAGGAGTTACTCCGTAGTTCGGTGTGGCTTCGTTAGATAGCGCTGTAGTATGTTTCTGTTTCTTTGTATGCGGGAGTCGCCACAGTTTATTTTTCATACTCATGTTAAAAAGAAAGAGCTTTACGATTAAAATTAAAAAATATACAAATATATCATAATAACTATTTTCCAATTTTTTAACCAGGCTGCAGAAAAAGAGGAGTTATGTTTTTAAAGTGTATGTGTAGCCTAAACGGACGGCACTTAATGGATTTTGACGTTTCTAGTGTTGTTAGATTCACCTTAATTGTGCGAAGTAGCGTACCTGATGTCAAGTGACTACAACCGCCCAAGGACACTGGCACCTCATGAGACACAGATGCGTTGCTACGCCTGAAGTACCCCCCAAACAGAAACAGGGGGAGAGGTTTTGCTCAAGTAACCTCACTTACTTTGTGAAAAGTAACGAAAACAAAGCTGAAAAATGGTTTTTTGTGAGGTCGTATCACTGCGGTCGATCCGGCCTTTTGTGCCGAAGGTCATGATTGTCGCAAGTCCTAAATGCTGAACGAAACTAAGACTGCAGTAACCCGAGGACACCAGACCTACGGCGCGGCTATAATAGGATACAAAAAGTCACTGATCATAAAAAATATTAAAAATGTTATATCTTAAATATGGAAAACTTAAATACGTCTTCGAAACTATAGCATCGCAAACTAAAATGTATTGTTTTGAAATCAACGTCCGTCGGCGTTATATAAATACAATTTTTATCATAAACGCCTGAGCATCAAATTTATTCGAAATTTAGACACATTGTTTGTGTGGAAAATTGTGTTCAGATCTCCTGCTCAATCTTTCTATCAAGTTCAAGTCATCATCTATTCTATAAACTTCATTTTCTGTTTTTGTTTACCTACTTTTTAAAGATACCAGTCAAGGATAATAAGTCAGGAAACTAAAACATAGGCATCATGCCTATGTTTTAGTTTCCTGACTTACCTATACCACAATTACTTATATCACAATTGAATACATTTATTACTAAAACAAGAGCCGTATAATATCTTATCATTATTTAATGATAATGAATCTCAATTATTAAACAGAAACATGGTTAGAAATATCAAAGATTAATTTACAATTTTATTTCGAAAATTCTTCAAATGTCACTCAACTAATTACATAGAATTAATATAAGTTACAGTAACAATCTGAATAATAAATTGCTCATTCAATATCCGTTTCTATCACTCTTCTATGTTATTTTGTTATTCGGATAAATACAACGAATTAGTTCACTCTGGCAAAGAACAATTTCTAAAGTCAACTGTTTTGTTTCGCCAGCCTAAGCTATTTAGGCGCTGGCGTCTGAAGTTATGACGGACAACAGTCGTAAATTATGAAGAACTTCTTATGATACATTTTTAATAATAGTAACTATGTAACGAGAGAATCAGAAAAGGATAGGTTTGTTTACTTTTTTTTTTTAATGAGAGTCATAGGTGCTAGAGTGAAGACCGCGATTAGGCAAACATATTGTACGGCGCCATGCGGCACGATGATCCGACGACTTGAGGAAAACAATTACACTCCTTCAGTCACTTAACACTCCCCGAAATTCATACAACTTGGGTGATGATAGGATATAAGGAATAAATGAGCAGTCGGGCTAATGGGATAGTAAGTGACTATAACCGTGTCTGTGAGTCACAAGACGCAAGGTCGTTGCCGGCCTTTGAAGAGGTACAATTATTTTTTTACTAGCTGACCCGCGCAACTTCGTCTGCGTCTCTCAATAGTAATAAATTTTCTCCGTTTTTGAAACATTCTTCATTGGTGCTCCGCTCCTATTAATCTTAGCGTGATGATATATAGCCTATAGCCTTCCTCGACAAATGGGCTATCTAACACTGAAAGAATTTTTTAAATCGGACCAGTAGTTCCTGAGATTAGCGCGTTCAAACAAACAAACAAACAAACAAACTCTTCAGCTTTATAATATTAGTATAGATAGAAGAGGGGGCAGACGAGCAGATGGGTCACCTACTGGAAGGTGACTACCGCCGTCCATGAACGCCTGAAACTCAGGAGTCACAAACGCGTTGCTGGCCTTTTAGAAAGGAGTACGCTCTTTCTTTGAAGGTTTGAAGGTCGTATCGGTCCGGAAATACCGCAGACGATAACAGATTAGCTGTGCGAGGCAAAAGTGTCTTGAAGTACCAATGTACCAATGGTAAAGTACCAATTAAATTAATAAAAGTTTTGTGGCGTTAAACGAATGCGGAAAGCCACGGCTTTATGTTCAATTTATCGGATCTCTCTCCATAAAGCAGACGGTAGTAACGCTACAGCTCTATGCTCCGTCAAGTTGACCCCTTGACGGAAATTGGTGCTATGTTCGCAATTGACAAAACCCTTGTTTACATCGTGTACGCATATAAATGTCTTAATCGATTCAATTTCTTCTTACTACATAAACGTATATTATGTATATAATCCAGTGAAAAGAGAACTGACCCCGTAAATCAAAGAAATCCGGGAGGTCCGCAAAAGGGATAAGCCAGTAATAGTTAAAGTACAATTTAATGAAACAAGAAAAGATTTACATTTAGGTTCAATTTCATTTAAAAAATAGCTTTCCTAAGCTATGTTTTACGAGTATGTTCTTTATTCTTATTTTTAATGCAGTCGATTTAATTTTATTTTGATGTTGTTGTAAATTGATGGCCATGTGATGTATTATAAATTTCACTTTTTTTGTACTGTGTATGTTCTGTTCAACTAATGCTCCCATCGTACGGTACCTTTGAGACTTGCAAGTTGTAACTTAATGTAATGCTATTTGTGCGTTGGGATATCTATTCGACACCATCGTCATTATCAATAGCCTTTTATAGTCCACAGGAGCATTAAGTCTTACGTTCACGCATTTCATTCATTCTTCATGTATCACATTAATGTTCATATTGTAATGAAGTAAATAAATCGATTCAAAGTACAAATCGCATTAGTAGGCTATGACCTTACAGTTGAAATACTTTAAATTCAATATTTCTACCTGTTCTACCGAAATGAAACAAATATTTTTATATATATATAATTTAACCGATTTTTAATTAATAAAGAATGCTATTCTACTAGTGTCTAATTAAACCGTACCGGGTCGTGGAATAGCATTATTAAAGGAAGGAATTCATTTGATACAATTCCTTAGTCGAACACTTCTTGTTATAAATTTCTGGAATTTTTAAATGTTTTATTGAATCTCAAGTTACAGTCCAATTATTATTTTATTCACATAAATATCGTATTCTTTTGTTAGGTAACTTAAGAAAACTAGCTGTACCACAGATTACCGGACAATACAATTAATGTACTTTATTCCAGAGTAAAAAAGTTTAGATATGACGTATAATTATTAAATAAGAAAAATATTTAAAATTAGCAGAGACTTGATGTCTTGATTTAAGATGGTATTAGGAGTCACATATTTTAGTGTGGCACTTCCAGAATAGGGATAACGCGAGTAAAACCACAAAAAGCAACACAGTTTATAAATGTACAAGAGAAATTAAAAAATATTGTATGAAAATATTATCGTAAAGAACTTTTAAGCTTTATCTATGTTGATATTAAGGGAATAGTAGGCGTGTTGTACAATAAATGTCTGTATCTAATATTTAAAGAATGTACAAATTATCATGTTAGAAATATTGATGTATAAACGTAGAAAGACTTCTAACACTCAGTTGTAGTTGTTTTATATTTTTAATCTGATTTGCATCAAGTATTATGTATCTTATTGAGAATGTACATGAGAAATAAATTCTTTAATAAGCTTGATTCTGGTATAATCTTGTAAAGCGCTAGTGAAAACAAAATTTGAAAGTAAGTTTGTGAGTTCTCTCATAAACGTATTGTATGTAATTTACATAGCTTGACTTACTGGTTATTTGTAACTGTAGATATGCATTTCCCATCTTCTCATCTTTAAAATTCGATCGGTGGTGATAAATGCATAACATGTCAGAACATTTTTCGTAATACAATGATTTTCTAATTTATTAAACTTGTTAAATGCTATACTTTTCATTCTACTATGGGTGAAATTACGATCACGAAATACTTATCTAATAATATACACATATTTCAAACTCCTTTCGTTAGGATTCTATAATTAGATTCAAAGTAAACAATCTGTGTAATAGTCAAATATAATAGAAATGAGACGTGAAACGAACGAAATCGTGAATGTAGTAATCTGAAGACATATTCTACCATTACATGTCTAAAAGGCCATTAAATGAATATATGTCATTTTGAGCAACGAGGAAAACGTGAATAAATATCACCCGTACATGCTTTTGTTACAGAAGAGCTTATTAGCGAATATTTTAATGTAGGTAATAAAGTGCGTTATATTATTATAGAGATAATTCTATTTTGCCAACATATCTCCCTCTTAAGATGTGTATTTAAAACAGGCCTGTAGCTACGAGTATATGTTACAGTTCATGTTTTATTATAAAAAAATCATTATAGGTTTTCGTCAGCAAAACTTCAATAGGTTACGCCAAATATTTGTCTATTGTAATATTTATTGACTTTGTAGTTATATTTCAGAATATGTTCTCAGTTTACTTTTACAGAGTACTTTGTTCTTGGCTCGATACTCGTGTCCTGAATCTAAGATTTTTTTTCAGCAGCATTTAATTTGTGAAGTAGACCGCTAAGTAGAGGTATTGAGAAGAACCTTTTAAACCAACTTTAACATAAGGAGAAACTCCCCCATTCAACTGGTTTTTCTTTGGTTCTTTGAGTGTTATCAAACCTGTTGTCATTTAGACTTGAAGAATATAGGTATTCACCTCAGACGGAAGTGAATACTGGTTTACTAAGATGTTAAAAACCGATTCCGCCTCTTGGAACTCTTCCAATCATTATACCCAGTACCAATCAGTAATAACTACACACATTACCAGTCCTTATTAATGATAATTCTCCCGTCCCATCCCATCGGGATTTTACTTTTCTACAGAAGTTCGGTGTGAAGTTTTAGTCTCTATTTTATTTTCAGATAATTGGCAGGCACCTGCGGCAAGAGAAAACCAGGAATAAAAACACAGCGATATCACTCCTGGACTGCGCTCTGCGAGGAGTCACCGTTTTATCATCAGCAGCAGTTAGTGAGCTGACAGGAGTTGAGTTACACGGTCTAGTCATATCTTCAGGGGATATAAGAAGAGTGCAGCAGGGAGCTTTCAATAGCGTGTCTCCGACCTTAATAGCTTTGGGTAAGTGCTAAGTTCTTAACTTGAATTAAAAATTTGTGACTTTAGACTAAAAACCAAGTCCCCACGGTTTATCGTTTTCGTGAAACTAACGTGGCACAAGGTTATTTAAACGGTGTCGATTTTTAAAATAATGATTTATGGAAATTATTATTTATAATATGGACATTTGAGGAGAAAGGTTATTATTGGCTATTTATCTAAGTTTAGATAACCAATATCATTTGAAAAAAAACAAGAATCTAGCTATTGTTGGCGACTTATACGATTAAATTTAATACGTTTAATACGTCTCAGTTTAAATTTTTATATTTGTTCAAACCTAATTCCACCAAAGGTAGAATTACTACTAAAGGTAGAATTAGAATTGAACAAAACACGAGATTCCTTTTTAACCACCTTCAAAAAAGGAGGAGGTCCTCAATTGGTCGGAATCCTTTTTATTATGTATGTTCACCGTTTACTCGAAGACGCCAGAACCGATATCGAAAATTCTTCTTTTTTTCAATCTGAGTTCATCTTGGTTTTCATCCGATGTTAAAGCTTCATTAATAGTGTTGACATACCTACTCATTGACTCACCACAGCTATTAAAACCCGTATATTTCTCCTAACTGATAAACTTCTATCATTTTGGGGACTGAAATACAGAATATACAATATTTATGAAACCAGAAAATTATGAGAATCATGAAAAAAAGAAAGAGGTTGAACAATAAGAACAGTCTCTCCCACTCCTACTCATTACCAAGCCTGATTTTCCCTAACATAATAGAATATTCCACGAATATTCATTTTCTCCCCAATTAGTTACAGATAATCCCAAAAGGGGCCTGAGGTCAATTAAGACAGACTCGTAAATCAGACTTATTTCCTTATCCATAAATTGTATTATTGTTAGTGTATGGTGTCGATTGAAAATAGTATATGATTAATAGTGCAAAGGAATATCTTATAATAGAGATTACCTAACTGTACGACAAAATATTGTAAGCTGTAAATGACAACAAGTGCTTGACGCGTATTTGTGTTTCACTAAAATTCATGGAATAAATACTAGATAGAAGACACTTACATTAAATAGTAATTAATTTTGTTTGATATTTCAATACAATTTGTATTGTGCTTTGCTTCTGGGTTTCAAAGATTCTTTCTACAACTATATATTCATAACTAAGTTAAATAGTATCTATGGACAAAGTTAAAGTCAACCGCCTTTAAACTGCCAAAAACAGATTTACCTACTTATAATCACATGATTTTGCAGTATTAATTAATTTCCTTAGAGAGCTGATAATGTATCCATGTAATGTCTATAAAGCACTCCATCGTGTAAGATTTACTAATTTCTAATGTTTCGCTAATGTACCGAAAATGTTTTCGTATTTACATGTATTTCTTATAATAGATGCCAGAATTTCAATTCTAATGCTTTTTAAAGAGGATTTAAACTTCAACCAACATGGATTACATATTTCATTTATTCACATAAACTTCTTGTTTTCTGGAGATAGTATTCAATTGAAATAAATAATATGAATTGGATAATTTAATTTTGTCTATTAGTTTATTTTTAATATGTTAGAATAAAACCTTTTTTAATCACATATGTGCAACGTGTGTCCGACTGGTGTGAGACCTTTTTTTTTTACCGTGCGGAAATCTCCTCGAATACCACCTATCGGTGGCATGTCGGACTCGAACCGACTAAAACCACACGCCATCTCGGGTACTAATAGCCGGGGGACCAGGTATACCCTAGAAAGGAAGTCTTTGGTGCAGACTGGTGTGAGACCTGAAAAATCTATGTTAAATGGTCTTGGGAGCTAGATTATATTTTATTATGTAATTGCGAGTCACTATTTATTGAACGGTGTTTACTGTGTTTTGATTGTTCTTCTCGTTAGTTATAAATGACTAATGACTATGAATTGAGAGAAACACTTCAGTCCTTTGAGATTTATTAGATTCATAAAATCAGGTTTTCATACACTTCTAGCCATATTACATTAGGAAATGTTAGATTTTGATATAAGGATATGCTTTATTTTGTGTTTATGTGACACGTGTTTTCGTGTGAAACACCTTTACAAATATTTTAATTTCAAAAATATTTTTAGGACTACCAAACAACCAGCTGCCAGCAGTACCTACAGAAGCTCTAACCAAATTACGAAAACTGGACCGCTTAGATCTATCTAACAATAAAATCTTCTCATTGGAATCAAATTCATTTAAGGTAACTTTTGCTATTTCTATCAAATAATGTAGATATTTAGTTTTAGTATCTATGCTGTAATAAAACTATAAACAAACTGTGTACTAGTATGTGCGTTTATGTTTGTTTATTTATTTTTAGTGATTTACTAAAAAACAAACGAGTAGTATTTGATTCAATACTTGCAGTTTTAAAGCTCATGTTATAAACTTAACACTGAAATATTTTAGATTGACTTATAGTTTAGAAACAGGCAAGCATTGGATTCTATAATGGTACACCATTATAGAATCCAATAAGGGCTAAGTGCAAGTTTATTTCACATCAACTCGCTCTCGACCCCGAGCGCTTTAGCGTTGCGATTGGTTAAGATTTCAGTGCGGGCCAATCGCAGCGCCGATCGCGGTCACCGTGACGATCGAGTAGATGTGAAATAAACTCGCACTTGGGCCTCAAGTGAAACGCCGCTCTCACTACCCGTAACCACAATCGCTCGATTTCAAGAGTGAGTTGATGTGAAATAAAATCGTACGTGGCCCTCTGATGGTATGTGACTACCGCCGCCCATGGACACCTGCAACTTAAAAGACTCAAGTGAACTTTGGGTGCCCCACGGGGGTGGGGAACTCAAAGGAAACAGGGGGTTTGATTAATTGACCTATGAGTGATTGAGGTGTACATTTTCTCGTTCGTATGGAATTTTAACTGTTCTAGTACTATAGTATGATATGCGACTGCACTCTATGAGGCCTCGGGTTCTCGGGATTTTCTGAGAGGAAAAATAATCTAAGTTACTCCTTATATATACAGCTACCTTGTAGTAAAATATTATCAAAATAGTCTAGCCGTTTTGACGATTACCAAACAGACCAGACAGACAAAAAATATTTAAACTTCTTTTAGGCATGGATATCGTGCGAATAACCATATAAGAGCATGAAAAGAAACCTATTATTTTGAGATGACAAACAGACACTTCAATGTTATTTATTGGTATAGCTAAAAATAAGAGTAGATTTAAGTGGTAGCAAAAATTGATTTGTTTTTTATTTACAGGGCATCAGCAATCTCACTTATTTGGATTTGAGCGATAATCAACTAGCAGATATTTCTTCAGACGCTTTCAAACCTTTGATTAGACTTAGCGTTTTAAGACTTAGAGGCAATCTGTTAAAAGTACCTGCGTTGGTGAATTTGAAGGTAATCTTAAAGTCTTTCTTTACTTACGAAAAACAAAAACAATACATACAATGATAGTTTTAAGAAAAAACTAATTTGTAATTAAAATAATTGTCTAATTTCTTATTACAACAGAAGTGCTTATCATTTATGGAAAAAGTAAATTTAAAATACCGTTTAAAATATTATCTTCCGTAAAAACAATTTAAATATTTAAAAAAAACTATTATAAAAGAATTTCAATGATTCGGTTTTCATATTTTGACTTGTTTTATGTGGGTTGGTCAACTTGTATAAAATAAAAATACCCGTAAAATATTAAAAACAGCTTAGCTTTTCCAGGGGTTCATTTAAGTTCACCAGGGACTTCCTTTCTAGGGTATACCTGGTTCCCCGGCTATTAGTACCCGAGACGTCGTGCGGTTTTAGTCGGTTCCGGTATCCGAGGGGATTTCCGCACGGAAAAAAAAGGGGTTCATTTAAGTCGAGTGGTCTAACAGTAAAATATGCATAAGACACTTATAACTAAAATGTGTCATACATATAATATTATTTTGCTACACATTTAAACACAAACTTATGCGTTTTTGAGGGTTAGGTATTTTTTTCGTTTATAACCAATTTCTAGCACAGTCAGTGGAAAATCACAATACGATATATACAGTATAAAAATAAATAGAACATGTTTTAGGAGGCTCATATGCTCACAGACTTGGATGTAGCCAGCAACGCGCTCGAAGGACCACTCGGACCGAACACGGTCCCACCCTTGAGTTCTCTCACGACTATTTATTTATCTGATAACACATTTGCTAGCATACGAAGAGGAGCTTTGTCGGGTAAGTAGATTTGTGATAGGCTATAATTTCACGTAATAATTTACTCTTTAACCTGGTCAACTAATCTGAGTACTTGTTTTATGACTGGGTTAACGTCTATTGTGTCTGACTCGACATAAATAGTTTAAAAAATAAAATTTATAAAGTTCAGGACTGTTAATTAGTAGTTTCTGTTCATTTCAGTCAATTAAAAGTCATTAAGGTTAAGCTTTTATAGGAATTGTATAAACTGCTATTTTTTTAGGTGATTGCGAATAATAAGTGTTAACAAAAACTTACAAAAACTGTGTCAACAAAAACTACCAATGCAACTTGAATACTACTGTTAAGCCAGATGTCGTTTTGGTTCGATTCCCTCCCAGGACAAATAATTGTGTGATTAGCACGATAATTTCTTGTGTCTAGGTGTAATTTGACGACCGGGTGGCGTAGTGGTTTGTGTAACGGACTGCTATTCCAAAGGTCGCGGGTTCGATTCCCGCTCAAGTCAAACATTTGTGTGCATGAACATTTAATGTTTAATTTGGTCGGGGTGTTTCTATGTATAATATGTATGTATTTACAAAAAATATATATATGTATTTATATCAGTTGTCTAGTACCCATAGTACAAGCTCTGCTTAGTCTGGGACTAGATGGCGTTGTGTGAATGTGGTAAAAAAAAAGTTAATCCATTATAATAACTTCACAATTCTCGCACATAGCTGTTTGATACCAAACTAAGCAGAGCTTGTACTATGGCAACCAGACTCCTGATAAACGGTGAAGATGTATGTATTTAAAAGTGTATAAATATGTTCATCAGTACATGTTGTAATAGGTCTTTACCTATGAAATTGCCGTTTTGTATGCAATAAGTGAAAGTACTTATTTTTTCAAACTTTTTTATTTCTGTTATTCGAAGTAATCACCCATGCAATCGACGCATCTTTGCCAACGCATTGGCAGTTTATTGATGCCCTTCTTGTAAAAATCAGCTGGACGGGAGGCAACAAACTCTTCAAAGGCATTTTGTACTGCCTCTCCTGAATTGATTTTTTTAACCACTAAAAAGTTGTCTAAATTTTGGAAAAAGTAATAGTCGGTAGGTGCAAGAGCTACCTTGGTTACCAGTACCTAATAAATCTGCGCAGCTGGGGATAAGATGACTAAAGTGAAGTTACCAGTAACTGCAATGAAAATGCCTCTAGGAACACATATTGATATTTGACACTATTTTTATCCATTCCGTATTTGAATGTTCCGTATTTGAAATCCACCTTAATACGAAGCACGTTCCAAACCCTTTATTAACGCTCTCTGTTCACAGGTCTCACGAACTTAACTCATTTGAACTTGCACAACAACCAAATAGATGTGTTGGAGGACTACGCGTTCAAGCATCTAACTGATTTGATCCACCTGGATCTATCTCACAATGAGATAGTTGCTGTATCAGGTGATTAACTTAGTGCTTACTATGTATTATACTTGTTCTCGCGGCTCTACCAAAATCAGTTTACTCGTTTAGGCGTGAAAGCGTAACAAACAAACAAACTCACTTTCACATCTATACAAATAAATAAAATTAAAGTGTCTGTTTGGAATGTCAAAATTACAGGCTTTTTTTCATGCTCACAAGGTTATTTGCACGATAAACTATTTTTTTTTTTTCCTCTGTCTGTCTGTCTGATTGTTTCGGGTAATCTTCTAAACGGCTGGACCGCTTTCAAAAATATTTTACAACCAGGTAGCTGTCTACAAAAGAAATAACTGAGGCTATTTTTCCTCTCAGAAAAACCCTTTAAAATTTTGCTCGGTCCGGGCATCGAACGCACTTAAGTAGCGCTTTTCAAATTCCACGCGAATGAAGTCGCGGGTACCAGCTAGTTTATAATATAAGTATGAAAGTAGGTTATTGGGTAGCATCTCTATCCATAGTCGAAAGTCAAAGTCAAACTACCTTTATTTCATAAAAACTCTTTTAAAATTATTAAAACCTTCTTTTACATAATGACTAAAATAATACACAAAATGGTAACAATTTGTTTTGTCAAATATTTAGAAAAACTAACAGTTACTGTTAAATCTTTAATAAAATAACAGTTACTGTCAAATAACTGATCATATCAGTTAAGGGTAATATGTAAAGGGTAGTTGGTAATTATTACCTTGTTTGTACACCAAAATTACACCTTAACCTACGTAGTACAAACATATGGGTCTGAACAAGGAAGTAAAAACTTATACCAGATCTACCAAGCTAGGTGTAAAGGAATGTCCCAAAAAATCGAAAGTATCATCTAATTCTTGAATTAAGTTTTATGTTAGGGTAATTCAATACCCATTATAAGCGTTTAGTCAATGCACTGACATTTTAATTTCCGTAAAAACTCTCATTCCCTGAGGCGTGCGGAAATAAGAAGGAAAATCTTTTATTTTCATTTACATAACATTGAAAGAAATGCTTGAAACTGAATAACATTTCTGATTGTTAAAAGATTTAAAAAAAAAACAATGTTTAATGTAGCTTAACATTGTAAAAATATCGAAAATATTTTTTGTTTTCGAAATAGAGAATGGAAATAAATAGAGGCTGTGCGTTGTTGAAACCTGTGTGTTGACGAATTAAGAATACGGAGTGTGACCACCCCTGTTCATCCCGTGCGTGTCGTAAGAGTCGACTAAGGGAAAAAACACAGGACAACAGCACTGCAAGAGAATTAAAACTTAAACCAAATCCTAGAACTCTAGAGTCACAAGTGCAAGTCTTTAGGCTCCTTGCCCTCATTATGGGGTGGTTTGGGCTTCGGTAACCTCACACACTCGTTGAAAAACAACGACAAAATTGTCTAACTCCGGTTTTCTGTAAACCTCCCTCCAACAGAAGCACGGCTCTTCCGCGGTAAATAGATACGTAGATGTGTGCATAACAGTTAACAAGAAAGTTACACAAAAGAATACACAGAATACATAAACACGTTACTCATTTATAACGTATGAAGCTCATTATTTTAGAAGCTATTTATAGAATAAGGAGCCTGTTTTATCTTTTTCTATCACGAACAAAATTAATAATTAGCGAGTGGTAATTACTTCTCCATATCCGTTTCATATACTCGTAGTTCCAAAATACTCTCGCTTGAGGCTTCACTGTAGGATGTCTTGTTTTCTCAATTTTCTGGCCCAATTATATTCTGTATAAGTTAATATTTGTTGAATTCGGTCTGTTTTCAACCCCTTTTAAGTGCAATCGAGTAATCTAACGGAATGGCTTAATATCTAATACATCTAAGTATTTTAATTCATTTATTTATTTATTCTCACGTACACAATATAAACATTTATATAAAAAAAAATTAAGGAATACTGACAATATTAATTCATGATCCTCACCTACATCAGCCTATCATAGTCCACTGGTCGATATGGGCCTCTCCAATTGCACGCCACTTAGGCCGATCCTCGGCTTCCCGCATCCAACTTTTGCCAGCCATCTTGAGCAAATCCTCACTCCATCTGGCCTGTGGACGTGCTATACTACGTTTGCCGAGACGCACCTTAATCAGATTTTACAAATTCAGCACTTATACCTAAAGAAATGAACGTCCTTTCTTAACTTGTTTTATTTCCGAGGTACTCAAAGGTCATTTGACAGTGAAGTCCAGGACATTGTAAAGCTCTATTTTTATTTTTAAATATTTTATTGAAACGAAATTGAAAGTATGAACTACAGTCAAACTTTAAATTATAAGTATTTTAAACTATTGTTAGTGTAACAATATAAATTGATAAAATAAAATAGAAGTTTGTTTTTTTATCAGCGTAAATAGTGATGGGTTACGATTCAGTTCATGATCTGAACTTCCTCGACGACGATCTGTTAAAAATCGTCATAGATCGAATATTGATATTGTTATCTCATATCAACAGTATCAATGGTTTAGCTAGTAGGCTAATATACTTCTGAAACTACCCATTCGACTATTTATCTTATCTTTAGAGAACAATTGATTCGATCAATATCAACCTCTATTATATCGATAAAAAAATCGTAACTCGCTTAACAAAATATGGGTCTTCTAAAATATGGATTAAGATCGGGCAACCCTATAACAAAGACTTACTGTTCGCAGGTGCATCCCTTGCTCGGCTGACAAACCTAAAACATTTGGATCTCTCGCACAATTTCCTCCGTTCACTCTCCGCTGAACCTCTCAAATCTCTCGAGCAACTGACCGAGCTTCTTCTCCACGATAACGACATATCGATGATAGATGACGGAGCTTTGGTGCTGCACAAGGACCTCACCCGATTCACTATTGAAGGTAATGGCTTAGGGATGATACGCACTTTGAAGAAATACACTGACTAAAAATGCGACGAACAAATTATTTGTTGGGAATCAATTAATTCTATTTAATAAAAAGATGATTTCTTGTTTAAGTGTAACGAAAAGATATTACACTTACACTTTAATAAATTCTAATTAAGATTTATTATGATGAATTTTTTTAATAGTGTATTGTTACATATATTACCATGCGTAACTCGGCTTTTTAAATAGAGTACGTTTACTGTCGTGAAATTAAAGTATTAGTATCTTAAGCGATAAATAAAACTGTATTTTAAATTATATTCTTCTTATCACTGATATGCGTGAAATAATGCATGGTAGTTTTCTCACTTTAAACATGTTATTTATTAATAAATTGAAAACATAACATGTTATATGAAAACGAAATAAAAAATAACCGTATGATAAAATTGTAAATTTTTATACAATGCACATTATCTTCATCATCATCAGCCATCTCCGTCCACAGCTGAAAAAATGCACAGTTGTCTATGATTGTATTAATTATTTAAGTGCAAATTACTAAAATCTCATACGTATTAATTGTTATTAAATCATCAAAGCATGTGTCACGAAAATAAATTTAAAATCTCCCTGGTTTACATCAGTGACATTCGTCTGTAATAAACAGTTGGATAGTTTGATGGCGGAACTCCACTTCCCGTATGTGACCCACAGATATTTGTCGATACTCAACGTTTCACTAAGACGACGTCGTAGCCTCTTTGTTCGCCCATCGATATCCGACGCCTGTTATATCCGCTCGTATGCCCCTGTCATGGCGCCCGCGGCGTCCAGAGTGCCCGCGACTCGCGAGCGAGACCGTCTAGATTGCCCCGGCACAAATACCGACCACCCGTAAAGTGCCCCACTGTTTTTTGCGTTATCGACGCGCGCGCCGTGTTCCACTTAATCGGTTCTTGTGACTAAAGTTTGTATTGAAAGGGTGTCAAGTGTTATATTTATTTAGTTGCCTATGAAATTAGCTAAACAATGTTATCTTTCTATTTACAGATTACGGCTCTGGTGTTGAGTTACACTGTGTTGAAATTGAGATAACGTCTTTTTAAGCTCGTGTTGCACTTCGAAGCTCATAGTTCAAAAATGAAAGCGATGACCTATGGTTTTTAATGTTTAATTATGTTGTTTAGATAGTAGTTAATATGTTATGAAATAAAACCATATACTCTCCCATACATATTTATTTATTTACAGGCCTCTAAATCCTTACCATTATCGGCCGCCACGCGGCATAATTTATGTAAGACTTAACAAGGCATATCGTACACAAATATCATTGTTAGGAATATAAATAAGGTATAACTATATAAGTAGTCTTATATTCTTTTATTACAATCAAAAACAATAGGGATAACATACACCACTTTTGAATAATATGAACATTTCTGAAACAGTTCCCATGCTCTCAGTAACATAACTTAGTTTTCCAGATGTTTTTTGTTCTACATACTAAACAAAACAAAAATAACATTAACATTGCCTTATAATACATTTAATATCCTTTTCATTTAAATTTCACCAACACACATTTAAATTTCACCAACACACAAAATAATATCACAAAGAAATTCCAACACAGTCACTGCACGGAACGATTCGAAGACTGATGAAATGACAGAAGTTTTATGACGTATAATTCTTTTTTTTACTAGTGTTTGCATGCTCGACTGAGATTAATACCATAGATAATATATCAGACTATAGAAAAAATATTACTAAAGAGCATTATGTCAATACAATTACTGTCAAATACTAATTAATCTGTGGCAGGAGCCATGTAGACTACCGGTCTACACGGGCACTTTACGGTTTTATTTTTGTAGACTACTAGTCTACACGGGCACTTTCCGTTTTTATTTTTGTAGACTGCTAGTCTACACGGGCACTTTAGGATTTCGTTTTTGTAGACCACTAGTCTACATGGGCATACTAGCGGATATTGTTGCGTGACTCTTAACTATTCTGGCTTTGTGGCCCACACTATAGATTTTTTTGTATGGAATAATAATGGGCCCTGACACTTTTGTTACATGACTACTGCGACCTCATTTTTCATATTTTTTTGTAATAAATTCAACATTGTTTGGTATTTAAATTTAGTAACAATACTTTACTCATTAGGTCGGTTAACCGTTTCATAATCGCTGTGTCTGCGATACATTCTATTGAAACGACTTTTCTTTCTAATTATGCCGATTGCGGTTATCTAACAGGGTATTCACTCTTTCGTAGAGAGTTAATTAAATACTACAAAAAAATGTATCAAAGATAAGTAATTAACGCATGATATATAATGTATGTAATGTAATGTATCCACTACACTTAAAGCACCAATGAATAAATCTCTATAGTTATTTCAAATTGTAACGGTAAATTTATTTTACTTTATAGATAATCCTCTGAATTGCGATTGCTTAATGGCCGGTTTCGCAAGATGGTTGAGAGAAGCAAAAAATCTATCTCAGTCTGATAAATCAGCAGCTGAATGTGCCACACCTCCTCATTTGGAAGGTGCCTTACTATCTAGATTATCTAAAAGCAAACTTTGCGATGATTTCGAACACACAGAGTTCAAGGCAAAAGAAACGAACTACAATTATGATAATGTATTAGCAAATTCAATTGTAAACAACTTTAAATTTGATAAAGTTGATAAAGAAAGTAGTAAATCACAAACTCCTGTTGGTGATGAACGACAATCTGCACCTACTGGAAGTGATAGACAAGCACAGATCTTTGGAGGAGACGATGTTGTTGGAGAGGGTGGTGGTGGAAATTTTGAGGACGGTTTAGATGATGATCTTTATGATGAAGAGTTAGAAGTTCCATCTGAAGACGATTTGCCAGTATCTAAATCAAAGGTAAGTTATGTGAATGATTGAAAAAATAGAATACTATACGATTAAAACAGGTTTTAAGATAATAATGAGAGTTGCCGTGAGGTTTACCGATTTGTTGTCACAAATGTTTGCAACATAACATTTTTGTTGTTTATTAGATATTATTTAAAAAAATATGTATATATTTACGTATATTATTAAATAAAAAAAAAGATCACAACATGAAGATAAACCAAAAACCTTTTGAAGAAAACAAATATATCATTGTGAACATATAAATTACATAATACTCGTATGTTTACAAATATTCAGTAACAATAACAAAAACACGTGGGAGTTAGAATAATCACTCGACAGAAAAGCAGTTTATTTACAACATCATTATCTGGGTTTCATGTATTTAATACTTGATTAGATTTACTGAAAGTATAATATTCGTTTCTTTTTCTTAAGTAAATAGTATTTTTAGTCTGTATGTGGGCTGATATAGTCACCGTAAATAATAATATTGCTTGTGAGAAACCTACATTAATGTTTTTTTTATGATTCAAGTATTTCTAATTGTGTGTATTTATGTATGCAGTTTAGCTCTTTATATACTCAAATTTTAATTTGACCCCTGGTGTGTGACTGTTTTGCACTAAAGTTATATTTTATGTAAAATTCTATACTCACTTTTGAATTCATATCCGCTTTCTGATAACTCCGCTTTCTATACAGCACAAGCCAACATGTTTTATACTATACTCGTATTTATCACTATACTTTTTGAAAATTAACAAGGCAACAAACAATAAATTAACAATTAAACTCGTCAACAAAGAATGCAAGAAATTGTGTTTACATAAAACTCATATAAAAGAGAAGTACGTATGACATGTTTTAGTTTACTGTAGTAAATTTAAATTTGTAATCACAGCAAAATAGGGACATACAAAACCTCTTGAATACAGAGTAGGGTTGTTCCAAGGTTGCTGCTTATCACCAATAGTATTTAACACAGCTATAAATATATTAATAGATAATATCACAACACAGGAAAAGAGGTGGGGCTAACGGTTTAAGGTCAATGGAAAATATACGGAATTCATCTTAGCATTCGCAGACGACCTCGCGATCCTCACACGTAACCCGAAGCAGTGTCAAGAACTACTGCGTGAGGTGGATGACTTCTGTATATGGACGGAGGGAATGAGAAATAAGGAATAGAAATAAGAATGAGAAATGAGGAAAAAACCTAGCAAATGTTATTGCCTTTGTCTGGGCCGGTGAGGTCCCAGATATACCTCAAATGAACCTGGGCTTACTATTGGTGGGGAAAGTGTTTCAATAATATCAGAAACCGTGCCACTTTAAACTCCTTGGAAGAAAGATAGACTACAAAGGTCTTACTCCATCAATGAACGCAATAGTTGCTAAATTCGTAAAAGGCATTGTCAAGGTAGACCAACAGCCAATAAGTAACGTTAAAAAAGCTTGGATTTACGACAACTACTTAACATCACGTCTCAACTGGCCGTTTCTGGTATACGATATAAACGAGAACCACTTAAGAACACTGGACGCGAAAGTCACTAAGACATTGAGTCCGATCTCGGGCTAACAACATCTGCAGACCCGTTAACGTTGTAAGGGGCTCGAATAACTTTGGAATGAAATTAAAAAGATCTTCGGAACTCTACAAACACCTAAGAGTTACCAAAATGCATGTCTTGACAAAATTACAACACGAAATCGTTAGATCTCTTTCAAAAGAAAATATATTCATCAGAGCTCAAGTGACGGCTCCAATTCCACAAGAAATTCATGGTGGGTATGCAGTCCAGCAGAATTGGATTAGGAAATGCTAGAAGACCATCGACAAAAAAATATCAAAATCTTGCCTACAACAAGAAGAAAACGAGACCTACAAGGTGCACGCAATGAACCTAGAAATGCAGAATGAATGGTTAAGTCTAGGAGAATTTTGTATCCCACCAGCTTTGAAATGGCGCACACTCTTTTTTTATTGATCCCATGTCCTGTTAAAATTTTACCTTAACGTCTTTTGGTATTGGTATTGGTATTGGTTGTGGGCCTCGGTTTCCGCATTTAGATTCAGAGTGGTCCTTTATGCGTCGGGGATTGGTTGACTAGGTGAGCCAGCCAAGCTCCTTCCAGAAGCGCAGAAGCCTCCTGGGGCGTTCACAGGCTTCTAGGAGCGACTTTATATCAGGAATGATATTTGCCCGTTGTGTGGCCACTCCCTCGCATTCCAGGACTACGTGGGCGGCCGTTTCTTCAGCTTCCAGACACCCCCTGCACAGGGGGCTGTCCGTCGCATTGACTATGAATAGTTGTCGGTTCAGGGCTAGATGTCCTGTAATAGTTCCGATAACCATTCTGATTTCCGGTCTGCTAAGACTGATCAGTCTGCAGGTTAGTCGTGGCGTGACTTGATTCAGCACCAGTTTGGACTGTCTGCAGCCGGGTGAGTTTTTCCACCTCCGGTTGTGTGCTTCACAGGTCCGTTGCCTGACCCAGCATCGTATTTGGTTAAACGATATGGGCAGGAGTGGGGTTGGGCCAGAGGTTGGGGTTGCCGAGCCCCTCCTTGCCAACTCATCTGCGGCATCGTTCCCGTGTGAGTTACTGTGCCCTTTAATCCATTGGAGGAGTACCCCATTGAATATAGCGAGCTGTTCCAGTGCTTGGTGGCATTCGAGGACAACACCAGAGGTCATTGTGTTGCCCTCCAATGCCTTTAAGACGGCCATGCTGTCGGATATTATTCGGATGTTGTAGTCCTTGATACCCCTTGACATGGCCGTTGTGGCGGCGTAAGTTATTGCCACACATTCACATTGAAATATGGAGCTGTGTTGGCCTAACGCTAGTGATATGTTTATATTTAGGTCTTGCGAGAAAACGCCGGCTCCAGTTCCTGACCTAGTCTTGGAACCGTCCGTGTAAATTCGGACTTCGTTAATGCCGGATTGATCTCGGTCATTTCCATGTATCTGGATGTAGTATCTTCTTGTGAAGATATGGTGTTTTGGGATTCTATCGCATGGAGCTGCTATCAGTGGTTCGTATTCCACCAATTGATCCCATAATTTAGAGTGCGATCCCTCCCTTTTGTGCTATAGACCTAGGTGTTTGAGTCTAATGATCGCCATGGCGGCCTCCTGCTGTATGAATAGATCCAGGGGTGGCAGACCAAGAGCCACCTCCAGTGCGGCAGTAGGCGTTGTGCGCATACAGCCAGTGACCGCGGAGCATGGGAGTCGCTGGAATTGCTGCAGTTTGTTTATGACGGTGCTTAGCTCTGTTCTCTGCCACCAGACAACAGCACCGTAAGTGATTATTGGTCTTATGACTGTCCTGTATAGCCATAAAGTAATTTTGGGTGATAGTCCCCAGCTTTTGCCGAGTAGCCGCTTGCATTGGCAGAAAATAATGCAGGCTTTATTCAATTTTTCATCGAGGTGCTTATTCCACAAGAGTTTACTGTCCAGTATTACTCCTAGGTATTTGACCTCTTTGGTAAGAGTAAGTTGTGTTCCAAATAGCTTGGGAAGTCTGAGATTTCCTAGGCTGCGTTTGTTTGTGAACATGATCATCTCTGTTTTGGATGGGTTCACTGTCAGGTTGTGTGCTGCGCACCATTGTTCCACGATCTTCAGTGCAAGTCTCATTTGATCGCATGTAATGCTCTCAAAAGGACCACTGATGAGAATGGTAAGATCGTCTGCATAGCCTATTGTGAGGAATCTTTGGTCATTAAGTAGCAGCACTGTGTAGCACTGTGTAGCAACTCATGGGTCACCTACAACTGCTTATTTCTAGCCTGGTTGTGCTCCAGACGGAGGGTTGATTGAGATGGGTCGGCGGACTGTGCGGTGTCTTTCTCTTTGCGTACTTTCACAATTTTGAAAACCTAAAATAGAGGATAGTTAGTAAGTTAATAGGTATAATAATAATAACCATACAGTAAGCGATAAGTTTTAGTTTTAGTTGTAGTTGTAGTTAATACGTGACAGTCAATTGTAGTTTTATAAGTTTGGTTGTTTTTTTTTTTTGTTGTGCTAGCGTTAAGTTGTTTTTACAATATAGCCTACTTACCAAATCCAGTCCTTGTGTCATACATGACATCACAAGCAGCACATAAGAGATATCCAGTGGTAATTGCGGCTGTCGGCGTCAAATCAGTAATTCTGGTGGGCACTGAAAATCAGTACTGGGACGGACCATGTCCATCACAGTAAATGCTGAGGGTCCACCTATTCTGTGGGACACAGCGTACAACTCTCATCCGCACAAGCTATCTATGTGGCAAAACATAGTACCAAAAATAATAGTGATCACCGCGTCAGCGCCACGTCATATATGATCACAGTCTCATAGACTACTAAACCACAGATAGCGTAGTATAGTGTTGCACTTTAAAAAAATGTAATATTATTGTAGTTGTATAAGGTTAGTATTAAGTTAGTTATATTAAGTTGTATGCTGTTCTCTTGCAGAATAAAGTTTATTTTATTTATTTTTTATTTTTTAAGTTGTGCGATGAGCTCATCCACAACAATGTTCCATAGAAGGGGGGAGAGTACACCGCCCTGGGGGCAACCTCTAGCCACCACTCCTCTAGTCACTTCGCTCACAGTGAATTGTATAGCTCTATATCTTAGCATGCTGTCGATCCACCCTGAGATTGTGGAATCAACACCATGCCTAGACAGAGCTTGGCTAATGCTGGTGAAGTTGGTCTTGTCAAAGGCTCCCTCGATATCGATAAAGGTGGCCAGTGTTGACCTTTTGTGATTTAGATTGTCTTCTATATATGAAACAACTCGATGTAGGGCAGATTCTGTTGATTTACCCATCGAGTATGCGTGTTGATTGAGGTGTAGAGGATGACTGACTAACGCAGTTTCCCTGATTTCCCTATCTATTAGCCTCTCAAGAACCTTTAGTAGGAAAGATGTGAGACTAATAGGTCGGTGTGATTTGGGTTGTGTGTAGTCACCTTTACCAGGTTTGGGGATGAAGACTACTTTAACTTCTCTCCATTTCAAGGGGATGTACTGATGCGCCAGGCAGCCCCTATAGATTTTTATAAGATGGTCCAGTAATGTCGTATCACACCATCTCAGTAGGCCTGGGAAGACACCATCTAGTCCTGGCGCCTTGAATGGTAGGAAGCTGTTAATTGCCCATCTTAGTTTGTCATGGGTGACAACTTTGCGGGCCGTATCCCAGTCTGTATCATCTGGTGGTTTTTCCCATCTGTCTTCCCATTTTTCCATCACATCTGATATGCGACATCCAGGGAAGTGTGTTTTTAATAACAGCTCTGAGGCTTCCGAGTCTGTTTTGGTATACTTACCATCAGGCTTCTTCAGTGAGCCAAGATTGTATTCGCCTCTACTACACAGTATGCTTTTGACTCTATTGGCCTGGTTGTTGTTCTCTATGTTAGTACAGAAGTTTCTCCAGCACTCAGTTTTCCTGGTTCTGATTCTCTTCTTATATTGTTGTCGGGCCTGCGTGTAGGCATCCCAATGTTGGTCTAATCGCGAGTTTTTTGCTTTATTGAACAACTTTCTCACTTTACGACGTAGTCTTTCCAGTTCCGGACCCCACCATTGGTGTTTGTTCTGTGGTCCAGTTCTGGGTGTGGAAAGTGGGCATGTTTGTTCAAAGCAATCGATCAGTGTCTGTGTAAGGTTGACAACATGACTGTCAATGTCCTTAACAGTCCCCGTAGCGTATGTTGGGTTGATGCTTCGCAGATTCTCCGCAGTAAGATGTTCATACCGTTTCCGGTCCATCGTGCGGGGATTCCGTCGGGGATCGGGTAGTTTAAGTTTCATTTCAAAGTTAAATTTGATCCAGCGATGGTCTGAGCACGATGCTTCGTTCGAAACATGCCAGTTCGATATGTGTTGCGATGCATGCTCACTTGCTAATGTAAGATCAATTATAGTTTGGGCCCTGGACGTGACAATAAGGGTGTTATGGGGGGGTGCAGACAGCGCCATCATCGCTGTTCAGCATATCCTCTATGTCGTCGAGGTCACTCTCGCCCACCGGTAGGTCCTCCAACTCCTCAGGAGGTGGACCCCGGCAGGCTGTCTCCTCAACGGGTCTCAGAGGATCCCCTCCATTGCCGTCCTTAGGGTGTTGTAGGGCCGATTCTCCTCCTCCCTCGAATGCGGTCGGGTTGTTTGCCTGAGCAGCAGCCAATGGTGTATTTGCCGGTTTCACCCTTGGGTTGTTCACCCTGGGGTCAGCCGATTGGTAGTTTAGCCTGGCACTTGGGTTGTTCACCCTCGGTACCGGCTTGGTGGTTTTTTTATTATTTGGTTTTTCAGTATCCATAGTTTTTTTGGTATACTATTCATCTCCTTGTCCTTCCACCCTCCTTGGAGCCCTCAAGTGGGGACGCCGCGGCAGAAGGCACACGACGCCAGAAGTGACAAGGAAATATAGAGCTCCCTCCCTGGCAGAAGGCAGGCCGAACTAGGTAGGAAGACTTGGTCGTCCCACCCGTCGTCCACCCCCACCAAGGAAGAGCTCTCGCCCAGCAGCCCTCTGACGGGATACTACAGCCGATTGACCAAAGGTGGCTAGCCTTCAGCCTCCCGTGTAAAGAGAAATCCAGGCCAAAGCAGTGTGTTGCCTTTCAGCTCAACTACCAGGATCCCTTCATCCTCCCTTACGGGTCCCCGCACACGGCACAAACATGCGGGTGGTTGCCCCCCTCCCCCTCACTCTCAGTCTTTGTTGATAGTGAGGCCGCAGGCACCAACCACTTAGTGTCCGCAGTAGGTGTGGATGGGATAGACAATGGGAAGGGATAGGTTTTGTGGGATGGAATTGCGTCTGGGTGTTTCTGTTATATCTGTTTCGTAGGGAATCAGACCTAAAACAGGCGGCAACCACGGGAAGGATGACACCCAGACTTGCCATGGGGATCTACACGACTGTTGCGCTCTCCCCCATGACCATTCGCCGTGTACGCCCTCCGGACAGGAGGGCGTACCAGGATTGGATCTGCTCCAGGCGATCTTGGCCTTTTGGAGCACACCCAACCCCGCCCACCTTAACGTCTTTCACTTGAATCTCCCCTATCAAAGCAACCTAGTAAGGTGGGGAAAAGCTACAGAAATGCTGGTACGAGGTGCAGTGCGGAAATAGTTACAGCCAGACACTGACAAGTTGTAAGGTGCTATTAAACCAGGGTTATTATTCACGTCGCCATGATAGGGTATTACAAATTATACGCGAAGCTATAAGTTTATCGCTGGCGATAGCGAAAAAAGGAATAAAAACAAACATAAGAACTAACATCGCGTTTGTAAAGGAAGGCTTAACAAAAATGACTTCACAAAAGCCGTACTCAATTATAAAAACCGCCAGAGCTTCAGTAAGCTCTTTTCTTGAACGAATATCCAAAGCGGCATTGCTAGGCTCGTTTTAAATATGGTTAGCTAGAGGGGGTAACACAGCAGACAGTGGAGGTGAGTGCTGACACGTCGCAAGGAGTACTCGAGACTGCTAAGAAATAGGTCTACATTAAAATTACAGAAAAAGATTCTGCAACGACATCAGAATATTTTTCTTTGTAGTAACAAATTTTTGTTTTGTTTTGACTTTTCGGAACTTTATCGTTAAAAATATTCAAAAATAGTAGTATTTATTTATATGTAAGTACATGCTATACATGCATGTAAATATACGAGTCAGGTATAAAATTGCCAGCTCGTATTTTAAAAGTGAAATTAAATCAAATTACTTACATCAAAAACGTTTCTCCTGTCTCATCATGGGCATTCACGGAAAAAAGTTAATTTATTATTATCACATCACATGAACAGCCTTTAATAGTTGCTGCTGCATCACTGCTGGACATAAGCCTCTCCTTAGAAAGGAGGTTGTGGCCTACTGTTTATTATTTTGATGTTGAATTATTATTTTTAAATCATAATGTTTGAAAGTGATACTTTAAACAACGCTTTCAAAGATCCCTGCTTCTTATGAAAATATACATCATAGTATGCCATTGTTATTTAAATACATATCAAAACTACGTACTATAATGTATACGAAAAACGCTTAGAATTAATTTAAAATCTCGACACTAAAAATGCATATAAGAAAAAGATGACATGCTTTGATTAATACTTCCTGTGTTATTAGTAAATATTCAAATTTGTCAAGTTTAGTCTAAATTTGAAGACGGACTAAACTAGACAAATGAAAGTGGGACTTGGGCACCCTCGCAGCGGCAAATACATGCCATTTGTGTTGCGGGGATGAAAGGATGGATAAGATCCGAAAAGAATACATACGATTAAGCCTGAGAGTCCGCGACACTGCAGAGAAGCTGCTAGAGAGTAGAATGAGGTGGACATGGACATGTCAGGAGGAGACCATCTGATTACGTTGGAAGTCAGGCACTAGAACTATCTGTTCCTGGAGCACGCTCTAGACCACATGGACAGATGTGTTGCGGAGAGACTTGAATTCATGCAATGTTTCGGAGGACGATGTCAGGGACAGGGCAAAGTGGAAGAAGAACACGAAGAGGGCTGACGCCACCACTATATGGGACAAATAGTCAGGAAGAGAAAGAGAGAGCAGGAGTCTAAATTTGAAGGAAGAACGTCCTAGATACGTTCGAACCGCGCAACCGTATTTATAGAACCGTCACACAAACAGTCATACTGCCTTATTTTATAAAATATACCTTATTTTAAACATTCCCATGTGCCTTAGTTAACTGTTACCTTTTGTCCAGATACATCTCTTAGAAGCTTGGCATGATGGTGAAGAGGTCTACTTATCCTGGGTAGTTGATCCCCCCACGTCCTACCGATATAGATGTACTGGAGTCACTGTATCTAGAGCTGGAGGTCTGCCAAAGCATGTAGCTTGTCACAGAGCTGCACCATCTAATGTAGTCATAAGAGGACTGAAGATTGATCCTGTTGATAAATATACGTAAGTACGACGAATTTAAATGATAAAGCCACATGCATATGTTCATGTCGTGTAATATTACGTATTTTAAAAACTGATTGGCACTACCAAAAGGTTTCATTAGAATATTAAATTATATTTAAAAAACTGGAATTTTACACAATTAATTAATGAATGTGTAGGCCTAACTTAATTTGCATAGCATAGTTCAAATTAGACGTAATAAATTAAAACTTATTACATCTATAATGCTAGAAAATTACAGTAATTATTATTTTTTCAGATTCTGTATTGCTCTAGAAGAGATGTCTAGTTCAGACCTGCCTGTTTCCTTACTGTTGGGCTGTGGAGCACCAGTGACGGTAAAGGAGCGAGTTAGTTTTGCCACTGTTGTGCCCGTAATGGTTAATCGAACACCGGTGCCTAATCATTTGAGGTAACTAATTTAGATTTTATTTTAATTCGATTCTGCTTTGAAATTAGAAGCTAATAAGATCTTAATAGCTAGTTAATCAGCAGTATTAGAAATATTTCAAGTTGGTCCATATACTATAGCATAATAACTACTTTTCTTCTACTATTGTTCGAACTACTGTTCTTCATACGTCATACTGCAAACTATCGTGTTTAAATACTACAATTAACAAAGTTTTTGGAAGCCGCTAGAGATCCATAAGAAGAGCAATAACATTTTAATTTGTACAATCGCTTATTACAAGCGATGTTATGAACTTCATTATCTAAGTAGTATAGATAAAATGTTCAGATTAGTATTCTGTTTCAGGGTCACGGAAGTTCGTTCAAATATCACTAGTGACGGCGTTCTTACAACTCTTATATCAGTAATGGGGCTACCTCAGCATTCCCAGTATGCGATGCGACTCTCTCAAGGCTTACCAAATGTTGACGTCAATCCTATTAACAGCTGTTATGTAGTACTTGCTATTTTGTCCCGTGGATACTTAGTTGCGCAAAAAGATACTCCATGTCAACCAATTCTAGAAGTATCTATGGAAGGTTTCGTTAGAGGGCCTTATGAAGTCTGCGCTGCAATCTCACAGTATAAAATCGATAAAACACGAACAATTTGCGTTGTACCACAGCTGATAGAAATTGATCGTTCTTTAGAAATTAAAACAGGTTTCAAAAGTTTGAATGGGGCTTTAATAGGCATGGCTGCTGGTTTGATGGTCATGTTGATAGGAGTGATAGTGTTTGTAAAGAAGGCTATGAAGAGAACAACTGATTTTGACGCCCCTAGGTGCTTGAGGCAAGAACCGGTGCTGGAAGAAAACGCCCGAGCCAGTTACGTAATGCTAACTCCTACTGCTACTTCTAAAGTGTGAATTACTAGTCGTGAAAAAAATTATAAATGTTTTTTTTGTTATCATTGTTTAAATTTGAATATGTAGTTGTGCATGTAAAAGTGTATCGATCTATGGTGTGATCGCTTTTACTAATAGCTGATAATAAAAGCTAAAAATTAATCGTGAATTTAGTCATAAGTCCCTAGATTTCTCTCATTTGATTAAAGTTAAACTGATTCATATTAGATCAAATCTAAGTAAAAATAACATCGAACTGTATTATATTTATGTTATATTGATTCAAAAACAGTCTATATATGGTAGTAGCACAAAATAAGCAAATAATTCTAAAAAGCAATTCAATCTAAAAAATAAAATTCTGTTAAGTTAACGTATGATGATGTGTCCTCAAGTGTGTTAAATATTGAATTTTTCATTTAAATGTTGATGCAGAGCATCAAAATTGTCAAAATGGCAAAGGACACCTTCTAATTTGAAAATAAATATAATCTTTCGTATTATACATTACTTTACAACATAGGAAGGATTAGGACGGCCCTTAGACCGGTTCATTGAATTCAATTCTACGGTATATTTGTTGTATCACATGGTAAATATTATGTTTACCATTAATGGGGGGCAACTGAATCAATATTATTAGTTAGCTGCTCCAAGCATGAAGAGAGTTTTAAAAATGAAGAAACATAAAATTGCCTGTAGATATATAAATATATTGGTGCTTTGAGTAGCTAATTTAGTAAAATATTCTTGAGTTCTCTTCAAAATCTTGTTGATTTACTGTACTTTGATATTTTCTTCAAGAAACCTCCGTGTGAACAAAAGAGCAAAGTACAATTAAACACATTTATATGATTATTTTAGTTGTAATTAGTACTGTTTAACAGTAATAACGGATTCTAAGAAATGTTTACACACACCTCTTGCTTGTGACAAGAGTAATCTATTTAAGAACTTAATTATAATTGTAATAAAGTAATATGACTTAATAAACGTACTGTTATTATAAAATTATTAATTTTGCTGGTTAAGGGTTATGTAAAAATAATTACGCATAACTAATAATTTTCGTAAGTCTAAAATTGACTGAATAAAGAACGCAACTTCTTGAGCGTTCAATTAGAACATTTTAATGCAAGTTTATGTCTTCTTTCTTTTAATATGTAAATGGACTTTGAATTTAACTTCAATTACGTTTACCGTCAACATTATCATCTTTGCTACATATTTGATTATATTCTAAATATTTTTACACATAAATTGTGATGTATGTATTATATGTTATCTTATTCTTATGTAAATAATATTAAATAAAATATTTATCAAATATTTATTGTCCATGTAGCCTTTTTGTACTAGTTTTATATAAAAGATTTAAATTTATTATTTCTATAAAACCAAACCAACGAGGACATTACGGGAGTGATTCTTTGCTAAAATTTTACTTTTGAAATCACGGTGATATAAAATGATGGTAAACAAATTATAGTAACGATTGTTGAGGATTTCTAATGTGTAAACAGTTATCAGATATTTCAGCTTTTGTATTCAGTTTGTTTCTCGAGCCCTTGGAGAATATGTACCTAAATGTGTTCTCTAGCATTCTGAATAGTCTTCGAATTCATGAATTTTGAGAGTTTTTTTTTAACACTTCTTACATTAGTTCTTAATTTCAACATCTTAATTTACTTCAGTAGAAATGCATCATGCCACTTTAGTATTCGAAAACGTTCAAGTAGTTGCGGCTTAGTAAGTAATTATTAATGAGCTTGTAACTTACTAAAATTAAGTATGTATGTCTTCTGTGAAGATGTATCGCCATATTTTAAACTAATAATATTAACTTGAGGCTCAGATGTATATTGTTATTTATTGATAATATTGGCTATTTTGCTTGTTTTATGAACTTAATATTTCGGAAAGATATTTACCAAAATTTTATTTGAAAAATATTTATCTCTGTTGTGTCTTGGATAGTTTTAAATAGAACTATTATCGATAGAATAGTTGTACAAGCGAGTTTGGGCCAATTTACGTAAATACGATGTAAATAGAGAAAATTGTCAGAACTTCGAAAACTAATAGTAAGAAATTGTTTACAAAATTTTTGTTAGTTTAGTTAACCATAAATAGCTTAGACAAAACTAAAACCCCAATAATTTTTTTTTACTGAAACATCAGTGACAACAATCTAATTGTTTAAATTATTTATGTTTTATCTCAAGATAATGTAACAAACACATGCAAAGAGATAAATGAAGTCAATAAGCTGGTGTTTTAAATGTTTAATTTTAATTTCAGCAAAAGATACTATGATGGTGTCCTCATCACAGCCTATTAGTAGGTAGTGCCTCTATGTAGTGCACTTCTGTCACAAAACTATAGAGATATCGCAGTAGTTTTACAGCCGTAGCTTACAGCTTCCAAGCTAAGTAAAACAGAAGCGCAACGACCTGTTCTGACGATTTTGATCCATATAATTTATAAGGATTCAACCTCGGTGTGATTGTGATATCTGCTCTTGGTCCACGATTTTATTGCCATTCATTTCACAAAGGAATTATTAAGGTATTTCGTAGCATTGGTTTCACAGCAGAAGTATAATAGAGAGTTCAGTAAGAATGAGCTCATCTGACGCTACTATATGTGTTATATAATATATCCTAAAATGACCAATCATCATCAGAATGTTAGTTTACCACCTAATCTATTTACATTTACCTTGTCCGTATAACTTTATTAATAAATATTCATCTTTAGTTGCTTTTACATTGCGAGTCTTGTCTTTTCTTTATTAACATTTTTATCTTTTGTAACATAACCTTTTGTTAGTAATAACAACTGCACCAATTTTCTTAGAATTAGTTCTTCATAATCCAACCTCATATGTTCGCTTTGAAATATTACTACAGCTTCTAATTAAATAACGATTTTGAACATAGACAGAACTGATATCACAGTAAATCATTTATAGGTAACAGTCTCATTATCTAAAACAAGGCAACACGGGCATAAAGACGACAGTCTTGTCTCTCTGTACTGTGTATCTTGGTATATAATTAGATTCTCTTTGCATGTGTTAATTAAATAATGTTCAAAGTTCTATTAAATGCGTTGTATGGTATTTGAGCTTTATTTACGTTATAATTATAGTAACCCGCAACATGTTGATGTTATTTGAAGAACTTTGGTTCTGCTTTAATTAGTATAATGTATGTAAATAAATAATTTATGTGATTCCATTCTAATTCTTAAATAAAATATTAACAAATGTGTATGTTTTTATTCATTTGCTCATCGTTTACTAGTCCACTCTGCCCCCGATAGTTAAAAGGCGCATGTAACAACAAGTAAAAATGGAGCAAAAAAATCATTCGCTATCTTTGATTTAATTAAAAGAATTAAATTAAAAAAAAATAGGAATTTATAGGCATGATAATAGTCTTTGACACCAAGTAATAAAAATATAAACATTTTAAATTATTTAATTAAAAATGACAAAAACCCGATTCATTTTAGTATAAAAAAATCTTTTTCTTTCTTAACTGAATAGACGCAAATAGTCAGGTGCGTCTTTTAAATCTCCAACGCTTTTTGGACTACTTTTAATCTAAGTATTTGTGTGTAGATCTGTACTTTATGTTTAAAGAAAAAGAGGAGGATTTCGTTATATGCGCCTTTTTACTTAAGTATTCAAAATTATGAAGATAATCCTGGACTAAGAATAAAAATACATATAATTTTCTATTAATTGTTTCATCTGACTCATTAACCTGAAAATTTATTAAATAACTGTATATTTTCCGTTTAAACCCTCTAATGATTACACTAAGCAATAAAATAAATTTTAAGTAATTTCTATAGTTTTCTTAACGTAAGGTATCAAACCGTAAATGAGAAATGCGCCCATGTCAAGACTAATTTTACGAGGCAGATATAGGCGTTTTTTCTTATTGTGAGAGCAGTTTTTAATTATTGTTCCTATAATTTATTAATCAAAAATTTCATTGAAATATTGCAACTGGTTTTACTCATACTCTAAAATTATAATTGTAATTTTCCTTGTTCTATGAGCAACATAATATTGCCCATAATTCAAATAAGTGTATATGTACACGCACCTCGTTACCGGGGTTCTTAGCTTTAGGGCTTGGTATATCGCGTATATAAAATCAACGAAGCAAGTTCTGACAAGTGATTATGGAAATAAGTTGTACCGTGTAGTGAATTATTGAATATGTTATAAAATACTGCGTATTCTTGTACTCACGTATGCGTTTTTATGAGTATCATTCGCAAATATGTTTATGCTCGTTATCGTATCGTCGTCGATTCGTAAAATAACGCTAACGCTGACGTACGAAGGCGCTCTACCTACCCAGTTCTAATCAGATTCAAAGTACGATTTAAATATGTGTTGAAGAGGCATACTTGTCCTATAAATGTCCTATATGTACTTGAGTCTGCGGTTTTGTGTATAAAAACGATAACTATCAAGTATTTGGTAGACTAAGAATAAAATTGTTCGAAGATGGGCTGGTTGTTATTTGGTGCACGAAGAGGTGAAACGTGAAATACCAAAGGTTTAATGTAATAATTAGTGTTGTCATTTGAAGTTGGATAGGTTATTTAGCTATACATATACCAAGCTCCACCGACAATGTCTTTGAACTAAGCAAATACCTATTCTTTGAAGAATTCGATTAGCTCTATCATTTAGCTAACTAAGAACAAGGTTGGTCCAGCGACCGTCTACATGAAATCAAGTTTAGCGTATTTTTCAAAGAGCATAGTGGTAGAACAGGCGGATTTATATATGTAGGTAGCTTTTCTTGGAGCCCAAAATAGCCTTAATCCTAGTTATTGTTTAAAAAATGTAGTCACCGCTCAAGCTGAATGTAAGCGTAGCAAATACAGTGTCAGAAAAAACATATTACATAAGTGGATTATAGTTTTTTTTTAGTAATACAATAAAAAATATTTATCCCATCTAGGTCACTTGCTAAAATCTTATCAGTATTGGTAACTACATATATGTAACTGGTGATTTACAAAATTATTTACATTAGTTGTGATTTAACGAATATGTTAATATATATCGGAATAATTTAAAGCTTCAATATTATAACAAAGAATTAGGGTAAGCTGTACTATTGTTGGCACCCCAATAGTCTAGGTCTGTCCTACGAGTGGGGCTGGAGAGGAAACAAGGAGCGCTCACCTTTCGGATGACGCAGGTGCTTGCCGGACACGGTTGCTTCGGCTAGTACCTGTGTCGGATTGGCAGAGAGCCGATGTCACATTGTGATGACTACCCGGAAGATACGGCGCTTCACTTCGCTTAGGAAGTGGCCTGCTGGCCCAATGATTTTGAAGAATTTGTCGTTCGAACAGATACAAACCTGAGAGGCATCGCATAGTGTACCGTGTGCGCTTCTAGAGGATTGCGACCGATATGTGATGGTCGCAACGGGTGACGAGACCCGGCTTGGGTGTGATGGGTCAATGCCTGTCGGGGTGGCGGAATTATGCAATTACGATTCTTGATCCCCCGGCCATTGGTAAGGAGAGGAACACCCGGGTGATTTCTAGACCGACAGACCCCTTCGCTCTCCTGTATTTTCAAAATCGGATCAGTGGTACCGAATATTTTCCCGAACAAACAAACTCACAAATTTTACCTCTTTATACTATTAGTATACATTTATCATTTTTCTTGTCATTGCATGTAATTAAAAGATTCCAAAATAAATAAAGTTGGTTGATGTTTTCCTCCAGTTGCCTCTGAGATTAGAGTAGTCACAGATAAGAATATCATCTGCCAACAAACGTAATGTTTTCCTTCCTGAAGTGCAAAGTTTCATCGAACGAAGTACGAAGTAGCCTAAACAGGTTCTGTTCAAAGTAAAATTCTGTAAGCTTCATTAAAACATTATATTTATGTAAACATTAAGTATATTAAATATGATGATGATGTTGATATAAACCAGATATTCAGCAACATTGTTCAGGCCAATATACATATACTTCAGTCACCATATAAAAAATAACATATAGTTTAAAAAAAACGAAATAACATGCTTTTTTATCTAGCTGAACTAAAAAGTAGAAAATAATTTTCTATAATTTTAAAAGAAAAATCATTTAATCGTAAAAATCCATTGTTTTAAAAATATTTTATTGATTGATATTAGTACAATTAAAGTTAAATTAAAGTATTATATTATAAAATATCTTGAAAAGTACAACACGCTTTTTTACGATTCAATTATTTTTCTTTTTAAACTTATAGATATTTTTTTATTTTATAGTTAGCTAGTTAAAAAGCGTGTTTTTAGGGTTCCATACCTTAAAAGGTAAAAAAGGAACCCTTATAAGCTCACTTTCTTGTCCGTCTGTCCGTGTGTCACCACCTCAGGAACGGGTAGACTTAGCAAGTTGAAATTTATACCAGATACTTAGGTCTGTGGTCCCTATTAGGTGTATAAAAATCAAGGTCCTGAGTCAACACGGTAAAAAGATATGGGCAAATTTCGATTTTCGCGAAAATTTGTAAGGTATTTTCTCTTTACTTGTGCTGTAAGACCTTGCTTTTAACCAAAATTGTCAATTTTAGGTCAAACGGAAGTACCCAATACCTTTATGGTAGTTTCCGTTGACCTAGAATCACGAAATTTGGCAAAAAGAAACTTTATCAAATAATTGTATTGTCATCGGTCCTAGATAAGTGTGCCAAATTTAAATTCAATCCGACGTTTTAAAGTAGGTAAAAACCACGTTCAAATATTCCGTTACCGTCTGTAACACGCTTATTATTAGTTCCGTCCAAGCTAATAATAAAAGCGTGTTAAAAATTGGTGATATCTTATGATACTTATTTAACTACAACATAATTAAGCTATTATTACTATTGATTACGTACTTAACGACGCCTGCGATAACAATAACGATTCCAAGAACCTGTGATTATAATTTATTATTTGGCTGGTTTTTACTGGTAAACTTTATTTGGCGAAACGTATTTTAAGAATAACAAAAGAACGTAAACAAGTCATAGACAATACAAGTCATACTTACGGGTATATTTTATGATTTTGATAATATTCCATTGTCGTTCCGTTACCGTTTATATTTTACCCTTTATAAAATGAGTTGAGAAATAACTGGGTTTAGATATTTTTAGGAAACGTTAAAAAATGGCTAAACCGAGGTTTCTAAAAATATATTTTCCCTTCGTTTTATGTTGTGGCTGTTTTGAATATTTTTTTCTTATATAATAATCTAAAATGATTCTCGCATGAATACAGTACTCTAGCACAGTGTCTAGTACTCTAGTGTAGACACAACTACTACCATAAAAATAAATAGTCTGTTGTAGTTCTAATTACGTTTCGCTAAAAAAAATATATTAAAAATTTGGGTGTTCTACAACAAAATCATCAGGCAATCAAACACCACTGCTGTTATGCCATACTGCCTCTAATTTCCCTAACCATTACAAGTGTCAAAGGTGCGTAGACGCATATCTGCAAAATACAACTAAATATTTTCATTATATTGTTAGCAGTTGTCAGTGTACTGTTAATCGCCATGGAGAGCGCACGGCTCCTTAAAATAATTTTAGTTTTAACTTTATGTTTGGGACTAGAGGCCAAAGTGTATACGCGATGTCAATTAACCCGTGAACTGCTGAAAAATAACCTATTTCCCAGGACTTTTTTAAGCAATTGTGAGTTGATTGTTTGTACTATAATCGTTTATGTTAATTGAGCTATTAAAACAATGCTTTAAATCCGACGTAATAATACTTGGATGTATTAACATTACAAATTAATACCTGTTTTTAACCTCTTGTTCACCTTTAAATTTTTGTATATTAATTTATTCACACAAAGAATTTGTGAAATCTTCACCAGATTCCTGTAAAAACAAACATTGATTAAGGGTAATAATATGTTAAATAAGTGTAGTATAAAACGTGACGAAATTAAAATGGAACCTAATTACAATACATAGGTTTCGAACGATTAAAACCGGCTGAGACTAATTTGAAATGTTTAAAACATTAATTAAATCAAGTTAAAATATTAAGTAAATGTAAACACAATGTGAATTCTACGAATCTGGAATTCGATAATATATACAGAACTATAAGATTTGAGACCTAAAATAATAGAAGCGCAAATGTTATCAAGAATACGGACGTCATGATGGCATGGTCATGGTCGCAGTTTTGTCTCTTATGTAAGAGGAATGCAGACACTTTATTTATTCTATATAAATAAATTAAAGCAGTATAAACCTTTTTAAGAGTAGCAGCTGTGTGAGGTATAAAATCTTTTATAACAATTTGACCGTGTTGTGCAAAATGTTCGAATCCATAAACTGATCACAATATTTATGTGAACCATCAATAATTACGATTACTTATGGCCTTTCTAATTAATAATTTAAATAAAATGATAAGGTATTTATCCATTATGATAAAATTATTGTTACTTTACTAATTTTATTTACAAAAATAACTAATGAAAGGGCTATAATTGCCTATACAAAAGACTAACATGAATGAAAATATGCGTCTTTAATACCAAGGATGTTAATAGAACTCATATTGATCAGAAAACTGTTATGTGCATTTCAATGATCTAAGTGGCGTGCAATGGGAGAGGCCTATGTCCAGCAGTGGACTGCGACAGGCTGATGATGATGATAAAATTAGTTTGTCTTAATATGATAAAATCATTAACTTTGAACAATAATTAATATTAATAAAACTTTTAGATTGAACTACTTTTACAGAATAATCTACAACACAGTTTGTTTACTAGAAGTTTAGTTATTATAGAACAGGCCCTGCCTAACTTAGGATTATCTAAGTTAACTGAAATACAATTTACATTACATTAATAAAGTGTGTTTTAGGCAAGCCATTAGCTAGGCAAAATCACCGCCTCCATCTAGCATTGACAAGGAATTTGGGTTTAAAAATTAAGGAAAATAATTAAAATGCCATCTACTCTACGAATATAACTAATGAATAAATGCTCATCAAATTGCGTTAAGACCATTCAAATCATGGTTCTTGATGACGTTTTGACCATTTTCGCGTAGATTTAAGTAGAGCAGTTAATGTTCGTGTTTTAGTAGCCTATTCTATACCAGGAACGGCACATGTTCCGTCATAATCCTGTTTCATCCAAAAACTGTGTATATCTGAACCTAGATTCTTCATTCTGTTCAATTTTCTAAAATTTACCTCCTGTTTACTTATCCTGCCTAAAAATGAATACATCCCAGCGGAAGGTGGTGTCAGGCGAACTAGCTATTAATACAAGATGGCTTCTCTAAATAAATTTACCTTGAAAGGGTATCACTGCAGATGCTCTCGTCTGCAATGATACTCTGTTTCTACGTAAATTTCGCAGAGAGGGCTCAGATTATGATTGTTGAGTCACCTCAGAAACTACATCAAAATCAGGCAACCAGCCATAAAAATATGACCGAAAATCCTTTGTTTTATATTGCGCCACCTACAAATAAAATTGGTTATGTAAGTGACATATAAACAAAGTTGTAGATATTTGACTAGTGTGGTGTTGAGAGATTTTCAAGGTCCATTCATTCCAGAAGAATCGCTGTCCATAGTTACGAGGCTGTATAGCAAACAGTTTTTTATTGGTAATTATCTACGGTTTTTGTACTATGATGTGTATTTGTGTTAAATGATATACGCCTCTATTGTGTTGGTCTGATGCCAGTCATTTTCATCAATGGATTTTCCTCTTGCGAGTAGTTTAGTAAAGTATGTAATTTATTTTGATCTACAAACAATCCTTAATGGTTTGGATTGATTGAAGTTTTGAGGCTGATCGATGCTATGATTATAGGTTATCGTTAGACTCCTTTTTAAAAGAGTGTATGGGATCTATAGGATAGTGCTTGCAAAATAAGGATATCTCGGCTACCTTTCGGAAGAACATTTAAGAAATACATTTTCACATTCATGAATGCTTTACACCATTCCAATTAATTCTTTTTAAATTTTTATGTCCATTTCAATGACATAACTTTTTAAACACAGTTTTCAGACAAATATAAGTTCTATTAACATTCTTGGTATTAAAGACGCATATTATCATAATGTTAGTCTTTTGTTTTGTTATTTTTGTATCTAAAATTAATAAAATAACAAAAAATCCTAAAGTTGTAGGTACGCAAGCAAAACAATAAAAAAAATAGTCGATATTATTTAGAAGTACAAGTAATATTAAATGATAATAAATATATTAGGTACTAAGCGGGTTCCGACTTTCCAGCATCAAACGGATCGAGTTACTTACATACGAGTATACGCGACCCTAACCAGCTCAAAACAATACTGACACTTTTTATTCATTCCTTTTTACTTAACTGTCCCTTATAGTCCCCGATCTTCAATAACAATACTAGGCATAATAGTTTATTGGTAAGGGTCAAAATACATATGCAAGTGCATTATATTATAAATTGGACATTATAAAAAATATTCTTAGTATTCAAGTAATATTCAAATATTTAATTCTTATATTTAATCAAATACTTGACTGCGACCGAACTACAGTTTACAAAATAAGGAATTTTTGGGGACACAAGTGCGAGTGTATAACATACATATGCATGAGTGTACGAGTATATATATGTATAAATAAACATATTACAATGAGATATTGTGAACTTCCAAAAAAATGAAGTACCTACCTGCAAATAATTATGGGATCATAAAAACGATAGATTATAGTAGAGAGTGGAGATACAATCAAACTAATACCGCGTGAAATCAACCGTCATCATAGTGACTGTACCTTTGTTATCCATATCACATCCACTACCTTTAAGTATTTATCATATACATATAATACATGTTTTTCAACAATATACATAATGTATTAACCTCTCTAGCACGGGGAAGCCCAGGGCCTATTATATTTATCCAAGGACAGAGTGCAAACAGGTAATTCCTCGGGTCCTACATATGTTTCTGAATTTGAAATTTTCAAGGCCGTCTATTACTTGCATTTTAGATCCCACTAGAACTATTCTAGTTTTATTTTGACGTTAAATTTAATAGACTATTGTGTTTAAAATTCAATGTAGTGTGTGTTGCATAAATGGCGATCGTTCCGCTCATTTGGCACCGTTGAGTCACGTACGTTTGTCTCAAATATGAATGTGGGTCTTCCCCAAGGTCTTAAAGAGGAGGTGTTTCTGTTATTATAATCGGCAGTTAGTTTGCTTCGTAATAAAACTCAGAGTATAATAATTTTATACAAAAATCCACATAAGAAAGAAATAACTTTACAGTTAATATATTTTTAGAAACTTCTTATTGAAGATCTTATTGAAGCATTCGTAAAATAAACCGAAATAACATTTCTTACTGACAAAAGATTGTAATTTTAGTACCTTTTCTACGTCTTTAATTTGTGCAATATATTCTCAATATAGTTATATGTTACTGTACAACTTGTTTTATGTGCATATTTTGTAAACGATACTGTAATAAACACAATTAAATTCCACTTACAACATTTAACGAAAAAAATCAATAAAACACCAAACCAACATGACATGGGCATTTAAACTTGTGTCCACTGCCACATTAAATAGAAAAGTGTTTACTGTTCTAAACACCATACTCATAATGAATTGTCAGATGTTGAGCTGGTTTTAGCATAACGACAAGGTTGATATCGCGATATTACATTGATTAAAATGGCCATCGTAAATTAAATTTTTGTTTGGAAAATTCGATGCAAATAGTTATTTTGGTCTATCCAAGAGAACTATGAAACGATCTTGGTTCCGATAATCTAGTTGCGGAAGTCCTACATTTACTAGTCATCTAACAAAAGGCAAGCCAATTCTAAGTATTTTAAAATAGACAATTCTGTTTTCAATACAACGTACAATTCGTGCGGATTCAACTAAGGCAGAAGATTAACGACCTAAAACAATGGCAGCTAAGTAGAGGCTTGAATTCTAAATAGTACTTTCCTTTAATTTGATAATGACTATAAAATGCGGCGATACAAATGACATGAATAATTATAGACCCATTACGTTGATTCCAATATTTACAAAATTATTTGAAAAAGTAATGCATATTAAATTATATCGATTTTTAGAAAAAAATAACATTCTCACACCTGAACAATACGGTTTCCGAAAAGAACACTCTACTGCCTTGGCATGTTTTACTTTAACGAAAGTAATTACTGACAATCTCAATATAAAAAATAACATAGTATCAATATTTCTTGACATGTCCAAGGCTTTCGATTTTGTAAATCATAAATTGTTACTCCATAAGCTTGAGAGATATGGAATCCGTGGAAAAGCACTAGATTGGCTTAAAAGCTACTTAGATAACAGATATCAATGTGTAGAGATATCAAGCATTTCTGGTAAATATAATACATCCTCTAGATCCGAATTTAAACGACTAAATAGTTCTGGGGTACCTCAGGGGAGTATTCTAGGGCCTTTATTGTTTATTTTATATATAAACGATTTACCGAATGTGACTGAGCATAAATGCGTACTATACGCCGATGACATTACCTTAATTATAGAAGATAGCGATAAAAATAACATAGAGAATAAGATAAACAATGAACTGGGTAATATTATCAATTGGTTAGAATGTAATTACCTTAAAACAAATATTAATAAAACGAAAATGATACA